AGACAGACAGACAGACAGACAGACAGACAGACAGACAGACAGACAGACAGACAGACAGACAGACAGACAGACAGACAGATAATTTCATCTCTATTTTGAACAGTTAAAAATTTAAACAAATTCATAAACAAATAACAAAAGAAACCCGTAAATATTTCCACCAAAATATTCTGTAAACAAAACAAAAATGTTAAAAAAGGGAGCAGGAAGAAGCAATGGCTTATCCAGTCCTGTACCTAAATTTACATACAGATTCTGAACCAAACCATCCATCCATCCATCCATTTTCTTTACCCGCTTATTCCATTTTGGGTCACGGGGGTCGCTGGTGCCCATGTCCAGCAATCACTGTGCGAGGGGCGGGGTACACCCTGGACGGGTCGCAAGTCCATCACAGGGCCACATAGAGACAAACGAGACAACCATTCACTCTCTCACTCACACCTAGGGACCATTTAGAGTTACCAATCAGCCTAACATGCATGTTTTTTGGACTGTGGGAGGAAACCGGAGTACCCGGAGAAAACCCACGCATGCACGGAGAGAACATGCAAACTCCACCCAGAAAGGCCCCTGGACTGGGGTTTGAACCAGGGACCTGCTCGCTGAGAGGCAGCAGCTCTACCGGTTGCGCCACCGTGCTGCCTGAACCAAACCAGTTTTGTAAAAAAAATAAAATTAAGAACACAAAAAACACAAAGTGTAGACTGAAAAAAAGTGTAGGCTACTATACCTTCACTTTGTTATACAGCAAAATCAAAGCAGCAGAATATTTTCCTGTATAATTTTCTCAAGCATATCAATGAATTCCAGCTAAATTGATAGACAAATTCATAAAAAACAAAACACAAAAAAGGAAAAGGAGAGGAAAAATAACACACACACACAAAAAAAAACAATCAAACCTGATTTTTATACATTTTTTTTTATTTAAAGAGTGAAAAACACAGTTGAATCTCCTTACGACAGCTATTCTACACCTGAATCCTTCTAACTGACGTATAGTTGTTTTTAATATTTGTCCTAACCTTTGTTTTTTAAATTAATCCTGCTCTCTTAAATCATAGTTTTTCTTTTCAATTTTGAACCACTTTTGAAGGAGTTTATTATAGGCTTTGTACATAGTCAGTGCTGTTCTGAGTTCTACTAAATCATAAAATTTTAAAATATGCAATGTAAGAAAAATGTCATTAGTTGGATGAAAGTAATCAGATGCAGTTATAATTCAGATAGCTTTCTTCTGTAGCATGTAGACCGGTTTTGTGTTGGTTTTATACGAGTTTCCCCATATCTCAACACAATAATTCATGTATGGAAGTATGAAACAACAGTATAACAGTGATTTCTTATTTATTCTTATTTTCTTATGTATTTCTTATTTAGGAGATGTTTTGTTTTATTCAGTATTGCAATAGTTTTTGACATTTTGGCCTTTACATTATCAATATGAGCCTTCCAATGCAATTTGTAATCAAGTATCGCCCCCTTTTCCTATCTAAGATTATTATCTGATAAGGATAAAATGGCCGCACTTTCTACAGTTGCAGCTTCGTGCACTCCGCCCATCTTTCGGACGACTGTACGTACATATTTGCGTTGTACCTCGGTGCAATTCCAATAAAGTTTATTCTGATTCTTCTGATTCAAAAATCTGATTTCATAAACTCGCTCTATTTCGATAAATATAACTTTAATGATTATAATAATAAAAATATATACATTTTGTGTGTGTGTTTTTTTTAACACATATCAAAACATTCAGCACATTCAGGACATTCTGGCTATGACTTTTGATATTGAAATTAATTTTTTTTTTTTTTTTTTTTTTTTTTTATATTTAGCTTGTCGGCCATGTTTTTCTCATTGAAAATGAATGGAGCTCCTCCAAACTCTTTGAACTGTTTACAACCTGCTCATTTCAGCTTTTGTTCTCTTTCAGCTTTTTTAGCTTCTTAGTTCTAGTTTCAGCTCCTTTCATCTTTTCTCCTCATTTAAGCTTTTTTCAGCATTTTTGTTTGGTTTTTTTTGTTTGTTTTTTTTGCCCCGTTCAGCTTTTTTCTGCTATTATTAATATTTTTTGCTACTTTTTTATTCTGCTATTTTTTTTTTTTTTACTTATTTCAACTTTATACATTTCTTATACATTTTATTGTTGGATGTAACTGGGACCCTGTGTACATAATTTCACTCCACCACATGTACCACATGAAGTGCGAATGACAACAAAGAATCTCTGACTCTCTGACTCTTTTGGGTTTATTTTTAATACTTTCAACTTCTTGTGCTCTTTCAAGCCCCAGTCTGCTAATTTCGGCTCGCTTATTATTTTCAGCTACTCTTTTGCTAATTTCAGATTTTTTTGTAAACTATTAAGCTTCTCTCTGCCCATGTCAGTTTATGCTGCTCATTTCAGCTACATGCAGCTGTTTGTACACATTTCTGCTGTTTTTCTGCTTTTATATTCCTGCTTTCAGCAAATGTCACTGTTCAAATTCCACTCTCGTTACCAGTTTAGTGATGAAATGTTTTCAGCAGGTTTCAGCTTCTTCAGTAGCTTCCAGCAAAAACCATTCACCAATAAGCATTCACCCTAATATATATTCAGAGGAAACAACATTTGTCTAGTTTCCTATTTTTAATTTACTATGCTTAAAATTAAGTTTATTTTTATTTAGTTGTTTATTTTAATTTTGTGATGGTGAATCACAATTTGATATACAAGATTCAATTTGTGATATTGAAGCTTGAACTCTTTTGGCCACCAGATGTTGCTGATGTGACGTGTTCCAAACGTTACCTAAGTTTGACTCTTTTTCTAAAGCATTTGTCTCAAATGACTGGATCCCTTGAAAGTTCCTTGTCCCTGTCTAATAGAAACTTTGATTGATGTGTTCAATGCAGATGTTGCATTTTGGGGCTTAATGTTTGTCTTGTTTCTTTTCCAGGGTCTCATGCACAGTTACCGTGAGGCGTTTGAGGACAGTGAGGCTGCCTGGCTCGCAGACAGCTCCAGCTTTGGAGGAAGTGGTAAGAACAGTCCACTCCATGACGCCCACCTTCCAAATGTAACTCCACTTCAAACTGTGTGGGTTTGCACTATCTGCAGGTGTAGGGGGCACCAAAAAAAAAACAACTTCAGCTCTGATGGAACTTCACTTTATTCTTTTTATATGCGTAAAATGGAAATAACAAGGACAAAATCTCTGTTTTGTGTTATGAATGTAGGTAAATTTGCTAATAAGCTAAGAAAAAGATGGAAGAATGCACTTTAGACTGCAAAAAGCAAGAAAATAATCAAAAACTAAAGTCTATTAAAAAACCTATAGAGAATCACAGAAGTCGAGAGGCTTTGGCTCGCAGCAGTTGTTTTAAAATGTGCTTTATAATTTTTTTTAAATTGATTTAAGAACTTCTTGAAATGAGAAATGTTATTTTAAAATAAGACAAATAGCTCAGTATCTTAAGCCAGGTGCTAACATTTTTTTTCTCTCAAGATAACTACACGTTTTCTTGTGAAAATCCATCTTTTTTATTTTTATCTTGACAAAATAACCCGTTTTCTGAATTTTTTTTTTATCTAACCGCATTTAACCAAAAACGTCTTCTTTTTTTAACCAAGTCTTTAATTGTTTTTTTTACTCACAAAAAAAAAAAACGAACAAAGAACAACCTCCCCACCAATTCCTTCTCACACCAGATCAGTCACAAACACATAAATAAAATTAAACAGGTAATGACAAGTTTTCAACATACTCCACAAAAGGCTGCCACTTGTCCCAATATCTCTTAACAAAACCCTTCAGGATATATTCAACTCTCTTATCCAATGCTGGGGTGTGTGGGTCCTTCCATTTGCACAAAACAGGTCTCCTGGCCAGAAGAGAGCCAAAAGCAATCACATCCTTCTCATACTTGATGAAGGACATGGCCACAGGGACCACCCCGAACAGTGAGATGGGTGGTGATTGATGTACAGTTTTTCCACATATTGAGAAAGTGTCAAATATAGATTGCCAAAAGGTCTGAAGTTTGGGACAGGTCCAGAATGTATGCAAGAGTGTAGCTGGAGTTTGTTTACAATGATTGCATGCGAGGTACAGGTCGGCTTTGATCTTGGACAACTTGTCTTTGGACCAGGGCAGCCTGCGCACTACCTTGAACTAAATTACAGCATGTCTCAGACAGATTGAGGATGAGTGTATGTTCTTAATGATTTTTCTCCAGATTGAGTTTAAGTCGTCCAAGTCCATTTCCAATTTCAGTTTAAGGGAGTCCAATTTATAATTTTAATGTTTTATTTTAATATTTTATTTTGACAGGCTGCCAAGCTTCCTGCCACTGAATAGCATTTTCCTTTGGCACACTTGGGCATTCATCTAGCTGCTCAACACACAACCCTCACTAATCTGGGAGTGATAATGGACCCTTCCCTGAAACTTAACAATCATGTATACATGATTGTTAAATCATGTTTCTTCCAACTGAGGCGGCTGTCTAAACTGAAGCCCATATTATCCAGAAATAACCTGGAGACAGTAATACATGCATTCATTACATCTAGGCTTGATTACTGCAATTCACTCCTGTTTGGTATCAGTCAGACCTCCATTGCACGACTACAACTGGTCCAGAATGCAGCAGCCCGATTTTTAACCAGTACAGGCAAAAGAGAGCACATTACACCAGTTTTGGCCTCACTGCACTGGCTACTGGTTCATCTTCGAATCTCCAGTTCAAAATACTTCTGTATGTCTACAAATCGCTGAACAGGTTCCCCCCCATCTCTCTGATTTGCTACAACCGTATGTCCCTCCACGTTCACTGAGGTCATCAGACCAGTTGCTCCACACAGTTCCAGGAACTCGTCTTAAGTGCAGAGGGGACAGGGCCTTCTCTGTAGCAGGACCAAGACTTTGGAACGAGTTACCTCTGCTTGTCAGACAGGCCCCCTCCCTCTCGGTTTTCAAATCCCGTTTAAAAACCCACTACTATTCAGTAGCTTTCAACACCAGATGATCTGTGTTTTGAACCTGTATGCTCCACACTGGTTAGTCGTCATATTTATTAGCTGCATTGTTTTTATGTGTATATTCTGATTTACTTCATTTTGTATATTCCTTTGTGTGTTGCCTGTTGTTCTGTCTGTACAGCACTTTGGTTGGCCTTGTCGCTGTTTTAAGTGCACTATGAATAAAATGGTATGGTATGGGTAACCCTTTTGGGAGCAGGTTTTTGTGATCCATCCATCCATCCATCCATCCATTATCTACCGCTTGTTCCCAAGTCAGGTTGTGGGGGCAGCAGCTTGAGCAGGGAGGCCCAGACATCACTTTCCACAGCCACTTCTTCTAGATCTTCTGAGAGGACCCCAAGGCACTCTCAGGCCCACAGAGAATTAGTCTCTCCAGCGTGTCCTAGGTCTTTCCCGGGGCCTCCTCCCAGTCAGACAAGCCAGAAGCACCTCCCTAGGAAGGCGATCAGGAGGCATCCTTACCAGATGCCCGAACCACCTCAACTGGCTCCTCTCAATGTGGAGGAGTAACGGTTCTATTCCGAGTCTCTCCCGGATAACTGAACTTCTCACCCCATCTCTAAGGGAGAGTTCAGCTACCCTGCGGACGAAACTCATTTCAACCGCATGTATCTGTGATCTCATTCTTTTGGTCACTACCCAGAGCTCGTGACCATAGGTGATGGTAGGAACATAGACTGACTGGTAAACAGAGAGCTTTGCTTTACAGCTCAGCTCTCTCTTCACCACAACAGACCGGTACAGAGTCTGCAATTCTGCAGATGCTGCACCATTCTTCCCTCACTCGTGAACAAAACCCCAAGATACTTAAAATCCTCCACTTGAGGCAGAATCTCACCCTCGACCTGAAGAGAGCAATCCACCCTTTTCCGGTTGAGGACCATGGCCTCAGGTTTGGAGGTGCTGATTCTCATCCCAGCCACTTCACACTCAGCTGCAAACCGCTCTAGTGAGAGCTGAAGATCACGGCACAATGACTTCAATAGGACCACATCATCTGCAAAGAGCAGAGATGGAATACTGAGGCTAGCAAACCAGAATCCCTCCACCCCCTGGTTGCACTGAGAAATTCTCTCCATAAAAGTTATGGACAGAATCAGTGACAATGAGCAGCCCTGGCATAGTCCAACTCACATCCTGAAGGGGTCAGACTTATTACCGGCAATGTGAACCAAACTCTTGGATCGCTTGTATAGGGACCGAACAGCCTGTAACACAAGCCCCCAATCCCATACTCACAGAGCACCCCCCACAGTGTACTTCGAGGAACATGGTCAAATGCCTTCTCCAAGTCCACAAAACACATGTAGACAGGATGGGCAAACTCCCATGACCCCTCGAGGACCCTAGTGAGGGTAAAGAGCTGGTCCAGTGTTACACTGCCAAGACGGAATCCACATTGTTCCTCCTGGATCTGAGGTTCAACCAATGATCTGACTCACTTCTCCAGTACCACTGAATAGACCTTACCAGGGAAGATAAGGAGAGTGATGCCTCAGTAATTGGAGCACACCCTCTGATCCTCCTTTTGGAAAAGGGGAACCACCAACCCAGTCTGCCAACCCAGTGGCACTGCCCCCGATGTCCATGCGATGTTGAACCCGGATGTCCATGCGATGTTGCAAGGGCGTGTCATCCAAGACAGCCCCGCAACATCCAGAGCCTTAAGGAAAGCAGGGCGAATGTCATCCACCCCCAGAGCCCTGCTGTTGTGGAGCTTTTTGATTACCTCAGCAACCTCAGCCACAGTTATGGACAGACCAACCTAAAAGTCACCTGACTCTGCTTCCTCCATGGAAGACATGCCAGTGGGATTGAGAAGGTCCAAGAAGTATTTCTTCCACTTCCCGAAGTGATGCGTAGGTGATATATAAGTGATACATTTTTGTGATACAAACAGAGTGAATGCCACAGATATTCATAACAAGTACTTCTCGCTCATGGTTCCAAATTTGCAACTAAATACCCATAATCCCACTCTGTGGCCATGTGACCAGAAGTCACCCTAATGACCAATGAGGTACCATATTCTCATTGAATCACGAGAACACACCCCCAAGATAAATGTGCATTGATCAGATTTCCTGTTAAAAATTCTGCTGGCTCCTTAGATAAATAACGTTATTAACTGATACTTATATGGGTATTAACATTCAACCATCCATCCATCTATCCATCAGGACAGAACAACTCTGTCACCTCCAGACTGAGGAAACAGTTTCACTTTCACTCAAGAGAAAATTTTCATCTGACTTTTTTTTTTTACCAATTGTGTTAAAGGCATTGTTCAGAACAAAATATTTACCGTACTGTACGGAGCCTATTTTGTGTATGTTAATGGTACATATTTAAATAAAAGTTTAAAAATCTTTCTGCCTACAATAAATATTGCTCACAGTGTGAGACAATGGGAGGAGGTGTTCCCCCTCTCCCCATGAGTTATGACTTGTTTGCCAGAAAAAAAAAATGGTTTGTAAGCTCAATCATCTAGGTAAATACAAGAAAGGTTAAATCATGTCATCTGGACATGTTTCTTTTTAGGGAGAACCATGAGACAGAGAGCAGGCCATCATGAAGACCTGTGACAATAACACCCTCTCTGTTTTTGTAGAAAGACAAACTAAAGTCTTTGAATCGCCATCTGGTGGTTGATTCTTGTACTACATAAAGAGCTGCACATTCTACCAGGAGCTGTGTACAATTTCTGATATTAAATTGTGGACACCTGTGGCTTATTTAGCATGTCTTATTTAAGTACAAAATTGTGTTTTATTTTAAATTTAGTACGAGTGGCTTACAGTCAGGTGCATTTTATGGAATGGGAAATACATTAGTCACATATCTTTCTTTAACTAGAGATAATCAAAATAAACATAGCTAACCGTTATGTTAATGAATTATGTGTTACTGAAACAACTTTACAATCTTGTATATATTCAGTGTAATTTAAAATTAATTAAAAAAGACACAGAGCTTTTTTAAAATAATCTTAAAG